ACACTCCTTTCGTTCTATCAACATTTGTTTGGCCGCCTGGTTGTAGGCCTCTTCAATCCACTTCCGAGTATGTTCGTGTTGCTGATCGACTTCACGTTTGAGCTGTGAGATTTCTTCCTGAATTGTTGCTGTGACATCCCTGTGGCGTGATTCTCTCTGGCGGCGCCACTCTTCCGTAAAGGCTGTGAGGCTTTGTTGGACCTCCTGATACGCTCGCATTTCTGCCGCCCTACTCCTGGTGGTTTCTTGCTCCACGTCATACAATTCTTCCCCCTCATCATGCGTAAGCGTTCTGTATTCCCTTTGAAAATTTTGAACGATCCTTCCCACGTCATTCTTCAAATAGCTGTGAGAAACTTCTTCAGGCTGTGGGTAGCCTCGGTCTGTGGGTCTCGTGGGCCTCATGGTTACGTGCTGTGCCAGAGCGTCCAGGTACATCAAGCGATCAATTTCCTGTGAATCTCCGATAGCCACTAGGATCTCGTACCATTCATGGGCCAGGTAAAATTGGTCCATCCAGTGGCTCAATTCTCTCATCTCATCTAGGTGCTTAGCTCTCATATCTTTCAGCTTCAGCATATAGTTTATCGACTCCTTGACTGTGTACGTCATTTCCCAGCGGTTTCCTTTCAGCTCGATGTAGTCCAGCTTCGCTTGAGTTAGGAGGTCTTCGAATTCGTAACATTTGTCACCGAATTCTTTGATCCTCTGCTGCACCTGGGCCACGGTAGGTCTCGCCGGTGATTGTTGGACGATAGTCACCTTCCTCTCAATCTCCTCGCGGAGTCTGCGTTCTATTTCTGCGTAGAAGTCTGCCATTTCCTGTGAAAGGGAAAGATTAGAGGGATTCAATTTTTTTTTTGTGACCCTTTGCTTCAATCTGCCAGGAAGCATTGCATGCAATCAATCTATCACCACCGTGCCTTCCGGCCTCGGCATTCGAATTGGTTCTATCTGAATTTCTGTGGCTCTAAATTTTTGATCTACTCCTTTTCTGTGTTTTCATGAGCCGGTGGTGATTTGTATGAAGTGTTCAAATGCTTATCATAAGTTATCATCTCCGCGAAGGTATGCGCCGTACTGACCAGCGCTTTCGGCTATGTTTACTTTCGCCGATCTGAGAAGCTAGCTGGTATTCTTTCTGACTTTGCTATTATTATTATTATTATTATTATATTTTTTTTATTATTCGCTGTTATTTATTTGCTATTTGCAAATATTTGCTATTTGCTATTTTTTGTTTTCCTTTTGGTTTTT